TTCAAAAATAATTCGGTTTACTGGGAAACTAACCAGCTTTCACAGCTGTTAAGCCATTGGTTTCCTCCTCCAACCAAATGGGTTAAATTAAATATAGATGCTGCTGTTAAGAGTAACTATGATGCTGGAATAGGCGGAGTTCTAAGAGATCATAAAGGTAGATTTCTTTGTGCTTTTGGTATCAAACATAAGCATTGGGATTCAGCCCAAATGGAAATGAAAGCCATCTTATCAGTAAAGGATTTTATGCTCCAAGAGAGATATAATTTCAAAGGAATCATAATAGAAGGAGAATAAAAACATTATAGATTTTTTTAATAAAATCTATAATAAGCAAGAAGGATTTGAAGAAGAACTCGACAACTTGGACTTCTCATTTATTTCCGAATTCAATCAGGTTTTCTTCAACTTTGTCAATAGAAATAACAATAAATTAGCTGATTACTGTGCTAATTATGCTTGCTCCTTAGATTTTTTTTGGGATAGTCTCAATTGTAATAATGTTCCTCCTAGATTTTCCTTGTTACTCAAGGAGGATTGTGATTGTGGAACAATCACTTAGTTTCTTTTGTATTTCTTTTTTAATAAAATCTTGCTATATGCATTTTCTAAAAAAAAAAAAAAATAGTCAAATAATTAAAGGCGAGGATTTATTCAACGTATATTCATTTATTTAATTTTTTTATTTATAAAGGGGCTAACTACAAATCACCAGCATGGGCCGGGCAGTCCCATGGTTGCTTTCTTTTAGGTTTCTTGAACCGCAATTTTCCCCTACCGAGTGGCCACAGAGCACTTTAGGTACCGGCAGCCAAACATCCCGTGTTTTAAGTTTAGGATTTTGCTTCCACGATCTTCCTTCTTCTACTTGGCTCGATTTTTAGGTTTTCATCTTCTCCATTCTGTTTGTAGATTCCCAAAATGAAGCTTGACACAAGCGGCCTCGAAGCTTTCGTCCCGCCTAGCAGGGGGCTCAACGTCCTGTCAAGTGACTTCACGGCGTCACCCGCCTTTGATCTACCCGGCTGCACTGATGTCAGTTTATAATCTTTTGCACTCGTCTTTCATTCTGCAGGACCAAGTGATTTTGGGTTAATTTTTTCTGAGTAGGCTAACTGACTCCCTTTGGTTCACTCTACAGTTTGATGGGTTTCAGAAGAACGCCGTCCAGATGGTGAAGCCGGCAAAAGGAACGACGACTCTTGCCTTTATATTCAAAGAAGGCGTCATTGTGGCTGCCGATTCCCGAGCCAGCATGGGAGGATATATCTGTGAGTCGTAGAACTGAAATGTTTTTTAGGGCTTATTAATCTTTTTTATTTTATCAAAATGCGCCCGCGCCCAATCCCAATTTAATTTTGCTTGATCTGGTAGATGAGAACATTATTTTTATGAATCTGGTCAATGATCAGCTTTCAAATAATTTGGTTAGGAAATGTTCGTTTTAAATGCAAGTACCTACAATAAACTCAATAGCTTGAATTGGTTGGAGTAAATTCTGCTTTTTCCTTAGGTTCCCATTTTGATTCTCAAATCATATGTCTCTTATACTTAGAAAGATAAAAGGTCTTTTATAAAGTCTCATCCCATGCTATCTGATGGAAGATGCAACTAGCATTTTTGTTAATGGTTCAATAGGCATTTTCTATTGTGGCTTTTACTTGAGTTAGGTTCACCTTATAAGCTATGATAAGCATGATTCAAAATATAAGAATTAGTTGGTCCTTACCGATGGAGGTTCATGCCATTAAAACTTGAGGTGTATCATATTTCATGTTAATTTTGCAATGGAATTAATGTTTTAAAAATTTCCTCACCACTTCTCTTTAGATATACTTTATGTGGAAGTTCTATGAACTGGTTAATATTTAATATTCATTTATATTAATTTTTTGAAGCTAACAATGCCTTGGGGGAGCCCTCAGGGAAAGCAAAAAAGCCAATGAAAGCAATAATATCAGCTTTGCAGAATTTTGTAATAAAATATTAAAGGATGCTAACATTTAATATAAAGGATGAAGATGTTTAAAGAAATTTTAAGATTTTAGGGAAAATGTTAACTTTAGTTTACATTTTTTGGTGAAATGGTTGAACATGCTGCATGCTAGCATGTTTCATGAAAAATGTGCTATTGGAAGGAGCTTTTGATGATATCTTCATTTTATTATTATTTTTATCAATATTGTTTTTTTTTTTAAAATCTACTACATTGATAGGTTTCACCACTAGGATTTGATCAAGGTTTAAAATTGCGTAATTAAGAATCGAGGCGGTTTTCGTCTGTGAGGCGAGATGTAAGCCTCGAGGCAGTATGAGGCGTAAGCCTCACGGATGCAGAATTGCGTAAATGAGAAATTAAGGGTTTTAGCAGGTAAATAATAGCTAGATTCTATCATACAATAAAAACATCTAAATGATATATGAAAATAGTGGAAAGTAAGAAAATAGATGCAATTAAATCATGTCCCAAAGTACAAATCACAAAATATTAGTTTAACAAAACTCCCAAAGTACAATGAACATATAAAATGTAATCATATTCCATCACTAAGTGGGTATTCAAGAGAATCTTTATCTCCAATTGTATCTATGAATGTCATATCATCATTATCTTCAATATAACTCAATTTTCTCTTCCCTATTCAATAAGAGAAAAGATCATTATCATGTTAATTGCTCACTTGATATAAATATAATGCAATAGAATATAAGACGGTGTGGAATACCTTTACTTGATTGTTGTGCTGCAGAGCTAGTGGATGTGTGTGGTGTGGTACTAGTGGATGTGCCCACTTGATATGCTTCGTCCCTCAAGACATCCACACTTAGATTCTCTAGCTGTAAGTCTGATAATGGCAAATCTGTCTCATCATCTATGAACCACTCATTATCAAATGACACATCATCACACACCAACAGGTCCTCATCATCCTTCAACCCCTTATTCCTCAATCTCCTATCTCTTAACCTCTTGTTGTGCATAATATATACGAGAGAGTTCATTCTGAGTGTTGATAGCCGATTTCTTCTCTTTGTTTACACTTGAATATATGTACTCCAGTTACGTTCACACCCAGAAGAAGAACAAGTGAGGCCCAACACTCTTATAGCAAAACTCTATAACTTAGGGGTGGAATCACCAAATTGGATTCACCATTCAACTGTTTTCAAGAAGAAAAAAGATAATCAGAACTGAATAAAGTGTATTTCATTTACGTCAACTTGCACACTATATTTCCAAGAAGAGTCACGCCGCAATGACGTATTCGCCTTTTCTTTGCCTCTAACCATATTTCCTAAAGCAAAAATCCAAAAACACACAAAAAATCAAAAAAAAAAAAAATCCTAGATTTTCTTTCATTTGAAAAATCTAGTCCTAAACTAAAAAAAAATACTTAAAATTGATTGTGGAGTTCTCCTAGAGGGCGGCCGGACACTTCATGCTCGCCGGAGAGAGGCGGCGCCGGCGGGAGAGGTGGCGGGAAGGGAAGCCGACCGTGCGGGAACCCCTCTGTTTTGCGAACACAGGCTGCGGGAAGGAAAATTTTGGGATAACCTGGAAGCCGTGCGGGATTAAGGGGAGAAAAGACTTCATTTTAAGTGGGTGGGGCCGGTTCTATGAGGCTTAAGCCTCACCCAGAATTGCACAATTGCACCTCTGAGGCGCGCCTCAGACCAGGTGAGGCGTACGCCTCTGTCAGGAGAGGAATTGCGTAAGCCTCGAGGCATTTTTGGGTCAAATTGCGCAGTGGCGCGCCTCTTACTGCGCAATTTTAAACAGAGGATTTGATATAGATTTATAATTGAAGTATCTACTTTTTAAATCTCAACATTAAACTCCATTATCACTTGATACTTGTGGGGATTACAACATTTACCCAACAATTCGAGTAAGAGTAAGGATTATGAGCTAGTTAAGGATTTTTCTATTGCATCAAAGTGAACCTAAGTGATTTAGGCTAGTCTAGAATGATTCTACTATCTTGACGTTGCCTTCGATAACAATGCATAATTTCAGTTGCTTGTTTTCTTAAAAGCCTAATTTATTTTCCTAGAGTCCACAAAATATTGCTTTTTTTTTAAAGCACTTATTAATTTTTTTAGACATTCAATTCAACGTAAATGCTTCATATTAATGATGGCAATGGTATGAATAGCTCAATAATGATTGAACTCTTTTTCCTCCCTAATCAACAACTATTTGCGGTTAAGATATTGAATAATAGAAGAATTATAATACCAAATACCAATAAGGAAATGCTGAGATAATTTTAAAAAGCGATCACACTTCAATTTTTGATGTAATTCACACTTCCATGACTTATCCTTTTAGAAAGCATTTATATTTGTTCATTTTGTGGAGTCTTTTGTTCTTCGATCAAACTGACATGATTTACAATAGTAAGTTTTTGAGTTTTGTGAAACCTATATCATCATCATCACCACCATTCTTTTTTCAATTAATTGGGTTTAGCTAAATGAATTATCATTTTTTATTTATTTTTGCTAAGTGTTGCATAAGATGTTAGACCTAATGTTCTCAAATCATTTTGAACAATTTTATTTGTTTTATCTTAGGTCTATTCACCCCCTTCTTAATCCTTTGACATAAGTTTTATTTATATGTCTAATGGGTGTATATTTTACTATTTGTCATGTATAAATAACTTAAATCAATATATGTCATTCCAACATGGTTTTTGAAATATAATTAATCCTTTATTTATCCTTTGTTGTTTTTCATCAATATTTTCATTCATGGCATTCTTAACTTCGAAATAAGAAATATTTTCTTTTTAGCGATAGAAAATAGCTGACTGTTGGCTTAATTGTGATTGTATAAACTTTGCCTTTAGGTATCTTATGGAATGATATCCTTTAGGCACTCCTCTTTTTAATAGACTATCCTTAACTTTATAAGTTACATCTTCATCTATATCTCTATTTTTCTATATTATAGATTCAAGATATTTAAATCTATCACACCTAGGTGTCATTTTATCTTCTAATAATAATGATTGAGAATTTTTAATATCATATCATGAAATTTGCATATCTAAGTTCTCTTTGTTCTAAATATTTTTTTATTCTTCCAAATTTTCACATATTTTAGAGTATGTATTATTAACTGAAGTCAATCAATTAATGTACCTCATTTTAAATTTCCTTTGTAAGAATTTCTACAACTAATATAAAAAAATATGGTTGAATATTGCACATAACAGTGTTATATAATCTAATAACGTGTTGAATGGAGAGCAACGCTTGGAATGTGCCTGCATGGTCAGAATTCAAGCATTTTTCCCTACTTATCGCATCTCCCATTTTTGTTAAATGCAACAATTAGATAAGGATTTACTCCTTTTCATTAACAAGAATTTCCATTATAGAGTTGACTTATTTTCATCTACCTATACTTGTACCATATGTTTTTAACTGGGAAGGTGGTGGTGCAGTATCAAAAAAAAATGTTATTGCTGTGAAATGCATTGCTAAACCATGATCCTTGTATATATATATATATAGCTAAACCATGATCCCTGTATATATATATATATATATATATATATATATATGTTCTTTGTGTCCATGTCTCTTGACACTCTGTTATTCAGGATTTGGACTGTTAAAGATGCATTGCGCATCCTTTTCCTCAACATAAAGTTATGTAAGATTATCAAATGTGCTGTATAATCAAGCTAAAATAGTTTGAATATCTATATGGAGCATTGAATAACATCCTCATGTGGCAAATTTTATAATGTTTGGCTGGAAGCTCAGAATACTTTAGCTTGACTATTTGAAGCTTCAGTGATATTAGAACCAAAGATGGTAATAATGTTCTATTACTTAGGAAAGATTGTGTTCATGCAGCAGCTAAGTGGTGGAATGGTTCCGACGAGCTCTTAGACTTTATACTCCTTAGTTCCTAGGGTTGTGATCACATGTTTGAGCATGGATCATTCTTTAAGTAGAATATTCCTTGAATCCTACTTAGAATTCAATATCCATATAGTCTTAGCCATCCTTATTTGTAATTGGCCTTACCTGTTACCTGTTTATATTTGGCCTTAAGTCCTAATCATAATTAATAAATTTTTTGGGGGTAATTTTCTATTCTCTTGAAAATTGTTATTACATGGTAGTAGGCTAGAATTTAGGATAGCTTGTATTTCTTGAAATGTTCTATTTTCTCAAAGTGATTTTTTGGGAAAATATAACTTGTGATCATTGGTGATTTAACATTTATGATTTTACATGCCTTGTTTGC